AAGTTTGTTAAAATTTCCAAAGGGTGCCGCGACTAAAAAAAGGTTGGGAAACACTGGTATAGACTATAGATCCTCTCAGTATAGCCAGTGATGTCTGTGCTCATGACCATAACAAAGCAACAACGCCAGAGTGGCTTCCAGCCCGGTTTGAAGTTCTTGGAGGGCAGAAACGCGCTGAAGCTGCTGCGTGCGTGGGTCCTGCATTCATTAATTCAGCGAAGTCTCGCGGTGTTCACTTAACCTCTCTCAGACATCTTGCGTTTCTCAGACCGCTTCGAATCTGCTACACGCACGAGCAGAAACGCAGCAAAATCCCATCCAGCATCGCTCGATCGCCATCACACCTTCACATGCGGGGCTGAACTGAGTTTGCGCGTTCGAGACACTCAGAGAGGATCGCGTGCGGCGTTATTTTCGTATTGTGCGTAATTTCTGCATTTCTGCGCGTTTCCACCCAGGCAATATGGCAACACCCGCCGCTGTAAACCCATCGGGTGAGTAGCGGTTTACCCCTATGCTTTTAAAAACAACGTATGTGGTGTTTAAACGGAAACCGAACGTCGGCTTTTTACGCATGTTGTGTTTTCGCACTAACAAAAGAAACCGTGACGCTTTAAACGCACGCGAGCACCCACGCAAGTAACAACAGTGACATTTAAGAATTTTAAAACGCTACATTGTATCATCACGTGTATATATATATATATAGTAGTTATAATAACGTTCGTTCTTCATAGAACACCGTGCGAATGTATTGTGACGTCAGAACCAAATATATCACATTTGGCTCTATTCTGCCGCGGCTTGTTGCTAATGCAAATTAGATGCTGAATACATTTGCCACAAGCTAGTACGTGCTTTGATTTCCTTGATAAGCGACTGTTGGATCTGACACTTTTCTTATGGGTCTGTAATTGTGATGTGAGGTTATTGTGTTATGAGATGGAGCGCATAACACATAACCGCTTTACTTCCTCTGCCTGTTGATTCCATTGCGAAATGGATGTGAAATAGTCAAGTTTATTGTCATATCTACAAATCGGTTTTGCAAATATAATGCTGATTTTGATGCTTCTGTGACAACAGACCGACAAATAATGATCACTATGTACAAATAAGTAGCAGGGATGAGACAAAACGGTAAAGTGACAGTGCGAGATGTAAACATAAGCACGGATAGTTGGTGAAAGACTGTCATAAGCTCATGCAGTTAACTTTTTAATGCAAGTTTACATGAATGCGTTAAGTTTTTAGTCACTGAATAGAGAAAGACTGTTGAATTGTTTCTGTTTTAGGTTTTAATGCTGCTCTGCCTCCAGAGTCACGATGTTGTGGGCATCTGTGGTCTATTTTAGTCATTACAGAATGGTCTCAGAATGGTTTAGATATTTATCAGTTCAGAACAACAACCAAAAAGGATGTTGAAGGTCAAACTTATGAAAAATGAATTTAAATAATATTTAAAATAGCAGAGATGCACAGATATAGAAATGTTGGAAAGTCAGAAGTCATGCTTCAAGTGGATTCAGGCATCAAACATTTATAAATCTGTAAAGCCCAACATATGAAATGCATTAGATTTTTCAGACTTTTTAAAAATGGAACCGTTTATTTAATGCACAGTTTATTTAATGCATCAGTTTTATTCAGAGGCCCAAACTGAGCAAAAATAAGCAATTTGGTGCAGTTGTTGTTATTTATGGCCAAAAAGTAAGATACGATTCTGATAGCTTTTAATGTAAATCAATGAGATGTTTAGGCTATAGCAGACTACATGCATAACCCTATATCTCCCAGTAATATGACTTAGTAAGATGATTTTTAAATGCTTAGTTTTAATGATCAAAGCTCTATAGTTTCAAAACATAAAATGCAAGGCAACACGATGATTGAGAGATGAACAAATAAGCATTCCTCAAAAGCCCGATGGGTCATATTTCATACTCTCATTTCTAACATTTTCTACAAAGCGATGTATGATAATCAAGTAAACCTAAGTTGCTTTAGTCCAGTAAGTGTTCATCTTGAAATTTAACAAAATATAAAAGTTAAAATCTTAAGTTTACTTTATAATGATCAGTAAAGATAGGGAGACAATTGTACTAAAAAGGCCTTTTGCTTGCTGAAAATGTATGAACCACCTATCAGATGACAGAAAACATGTAGAAGATTATGTGCAACAGGTTTTTGGAAATGTTTTTATCATGTTGATAATTTAGATGCTTGCCTTAGATTTTCACACATCAGCTATTTTACAAAAGCACAATATTATCTGCTTCTAGAATTGTCCTGATAAAACTGATACTCTGTTTAAAAAGATCATCTGATAAACCTCATGCAACAGACTTCAATAAAACAAACTTGTTTAGTGATTGTTCACAGGAAACATGTCACAGAAGCCTACTGCTGCTCAGTTTATTTAGTCACTTGCTAAAGTAAATTACACTCCATGACTCCATTGCTTCCACGAACACTCTTTCCCCCAGCGGGCAATTCCTTCCCCACCACCGACCTCATTGTAAATGCAAATGAGTCAAAATGAATAAAGAATGTGAGCGTTATAAGAACCTGGTTGACACGCCGAGCTGCCAAGCATGCTTTAAAATGCACAAGAGCATTCTGGGTTTGAGTCACGTGACTGTAGTTAGCTAGCTTTTATTTCACTTGCTTAACAAATCTGCAGGCCATCTGTACTTTTCTGTAAAGTAAATCTGTAAAGGCCCCGGTTGCAGCACGGCCACGATAAGAACATGTTTTGTACAAATAGCACTAGGTTTGTGAATGGGGATTACAGGCACAGTTGATTAGCCACAGTTCGGACTGTTTGCCGACCTCTTGTGTTTGTGAAGGAAGCCTCTCTGTTGAAAGCAGTGACGGATAACAGGACTGACCAGAAGTGTAGCATTGCTAAGAAGGAATTGTGTGCATATGGCATATGGTGTGCTGCATGAGCTAGCAAATGCTAAAGAATTTACTTTTTCTCGTTTTAATTTCTACGTTGCTGGATTTGGGCTTTGAGAAAGGCTGAGATTGATATATGATGATATAGATATATATATATATATATATATATATATATATATACTTACTTGACAGTATAAGTGTGTGAAATATGCTTTACTGTTTATACCGTATTCTGCTGATACGTTTTACAGATGTGTGTTTATTGGCTGTTTATCATTTTAAAGTCAGAACCACCTGTTTTATAATATTTATAATGTTTTGAGTCTTATGTTTTTGGTTGTCCGTCTCATCATGGGAAGCTATTCATTTGTATATACTGTATATAATCTGGTGATTTGGTTAAATGGCCATCAGTGTTGTTAAAACAACATTTTTGGTTAGTGAAATAAAATGTAAACGTTAGATGTAAAACTTGGAAATGGAAAGTAGAAATGTTGCACTGGTAAGTTAAAGTCCTACTAAAATGACTAAAACTAAAAATAATAATGAAAAATTAAAGGGAAAGTTTGCCCAAAAATGAAAATTCTGAAAACCAAATATTTGCTGGTAGCCATTGAGCCATTTGGAAAAAAAAAAAAAAACTATTTAAGTCAATGGCTACCGGCAACTGTTTGGTTACCAACATTCTTCTCTTCAAAAAATCTTCTTTTGTGTTCAGCAGAAGAAAGAAACTCATATAGGTTTGGGACAATTTGTGGGTGAGTAAATGATGACAGAATTTTCATATTTGTGTGCACTATATCTTTAAATCAAAACTTTTAGTAAATAGTATAGAAATAATTCTAAAATCACAATGATGCACATGGTTCATAACATTGCAGTTTGTCTCAGCGATGCCATACACTTTTATTTCATTTTCTGAAGTGATTTAGAACCTTATAAAGAGACCTTGGTTGAAATTTCTGTGAAATAATTGGACACACATTTATATCAGTGGAGTTAAATGAGTTGTTTTATCTATGTAAATACCTCTCTGCAATAATAGAGCAACATTTCATTTTGCTGAACTTTACTTGCATTTTTATGTGCTACACGTTTGCCATCAAGTCCTATTTATTATGTGTACAAACCAAGTTTCTGATCACCAAATAGACATTGTTGACAAGTTGTTTGTTGTTTTGCCAAATTAGAAAGTTGCATTCAGAACGAATAATTTTTGCTGGTTAGTTTCAGTAACAAACAGAAGTTTTGAGTTCTGAAAGTTGAACTCTTTGATAATCTAAATTTTCATTATATGGCCCATTTAATTCTGATGTGCGTGCTGAGTCCATCCTTGCATGAACCATTTGCAAGTGATTGGACTTCTGTCAAGAAATACAGCATTGTGCTCATCCGTCAGTTTCTGTAAGCTCTTGAAATGAGAATAAAGCTAAAAAAGTAACTGAGGACAATTACACATGCATTACTGAAGCATGCTTTCGATTTTTCTGTTGACCATCATGTCTGGAATATCCCGAACATTTGGCAGTGTGAACTTTCTTTGGCTGCGTAACAATAGACAGAAGAGAAGAGTCAATCTTCACATGTGCGTGCTATCAGAGGAAGGATGTTAATTCAATAGTTTGTCATTTCTTCGCGATTTATCACCTTTGCGATTTAATTTTGATTAATCGTGCAGCCCTAATATATATATATATATATATATATACACACAGTATATGTATATACATATGTATATTCTTTTCAGACACCAGTTGCTTGTCAAATTCAAATTGGTTGTCATAGTAGCGACACTAATTTGTGGAGATTCAGCGCATTGAGTTCCACAAATCTGAATGCATTATTTGTAAATTGACTGTTAAGATAAACATTTTGCACAATTTATTATCTGTAATATCATTGTGTTGCCACTAGATGCTGTATAAGCCCTATGTAACAATCTCTAGTAGCTAAGACATTGCACATAATTTACACATAAATCACACATAAATTAATTTTATTACATTTGGATTTGGATGCATGTTTAAATATTATCAATGGCTACTTTTTGTCTTTATCTGTTTTTTGTTCAATTGTTTTGTTGTTGTTGTTTGAAACGTTGATTTAAAGTGTCAGTTATTGCATTATTATTTCAGTCAAACCTATAAAACCCCTTTGTTACCCAAAACTACATATAAAAGCTTTATCAGTGGCATAAAAGTAACCAATGCAGCTACTTAATCATTTGCTACTCGTTAACGCATTAACGTCCCCTTTAAATAACGTGACACTCTTCCCTCTATGACGCTGCTCCCATTAAGCGCTGTTGGAAGTGAATGAATTGATTCAGCATTTCGAGACCTCCGTAAGGATGCATTTAACTCAACAAGCGGTTTAATAAAGGATGTATTGATCTCGTGAATTAGCGAAGTTTATTATACAAATATTTTTTAATTGGGTGTTAAAGTTTATATGGGAATATTACATGACATAATGGCGTTGTTGAGCGCTCCAAATGCAAACTTTAAATGCAATTGACAGCACTCTGATCTAGTGGCATACAGGCATCGTCAGATTGACAGTACTCTAGCCCAATAATGGGGGATCCAGTGGGGGCGGCAGTCATATTTCAGGGTGACCGTGCCACTCTTTATCACAACCCTGCTAAAAGTGCCAGTACGTGCGCTCATTGGCGCCCCTTCAGCTAGTGGCGCCCTAGGCGATCGCCTAGCTCGCCTATGCCTAGAAACGGCCCTGATTTCTTCCTTTAAACTTGTAGGTTTCTGAATGAATGAATGAATGAATGATGCATTTATATAGCGCTTTACTGTGTATTGTTGTACACCCAAAGCGCTTTACAATCATGTGGGGGGGTCTCTCCTCAACCACCACCAGTGTGCAGCATCCACTTGGTTTCTGAACCATCCCTGCTTGGAAGCACTCATTTGAGAAATTATTTTCTGCATGGAAATGTGCCAAGTGTCGCTTCGACCTCATCGGCACCCAGAGATCATTATACTGCTTCAGTTGCACTGAATTGCTCCTTTCACTCTCTTTTAAGTGCTGCTGGAGAATAAAGGAACTAAATGCTTTACTACTGAATGGGTTATTTTCCGTTCTTCATTTTTGGTCGTCCTTGTGTTTGGAATGGCCTGATTCCATCTTTTTCGGTCATGGCTTCTGGTTTTATAGGGTTTTAGCAATGATATAAAAAGGTTTGGTAGTCCATTCTGACATTTCTATGGTTTGCTCAGATTAAAATAATAGACAGGGCTGCAAACTCAGCAAAATTTACTGCTTTGAAATTTGTGTTTTGTATGTAATTTGTAATGATTAATTTTTTTCATGGAATGGTGCAAGAGAGAAAGGCTCAAATGTTACAAAAAAATTACCTTGTCAAAAGGAGTTTTTTTTCTTTCTCTCATTTAATGTGGTATTTGTTGTAAGTCCATGTAAATGTCAGCCCTGAAAATGTGTTTTCGTGGCCGGTCATGTGCTTGACTATCAGCTCACTCAAGGACTGTGACAACTTTCAAGGTCTACAGAGAAAGACTTTTCATTTACTAGTAATATAGCAAAAATTGCCTACACATGAGTTATTATTGGCTGATATTTGGCCATTTTGAGATCATCATCAGTGGACAATGATCATGTTGGTTTGATTAATTAACAAACTAGCATTGGCTTTCTTTACCAGCAGCAGCCCAATTTGTTTTCATACATTTAAGTTTGTGAATGTTAATATTATTGCCACCTTTAGTGTGTAGCCTATGTGTGCATCTCAATTGCTATAATTCGGTTGTATGTGATATAGACCTCATGGGTTGATATTTTTGTTCTTTTGCTCGCCAAGGCTGCATTTATTTAATCAAAAATACAGTTAAAACAGTAAAATTGTCAAATATTATTACAATATTAAATAACTGTTTTTTTTATTGGAATGTATTTTAAAATGTATTTTATTCCTGTGATCAAAGCTGAATTTTCAGCATCATTACCCCAGTCATCAGTGTCACATGATGCTGCGGAAATCAGTCTAATATGTAATATTGAAAACACTTGTGCTGATTCATATTTTTGTGGAAACTGCAATAAAAAAAATTTTTTCAGGATTCTTTAATGGATAAAAAGTTCAAAAGAACAGCATTTATTTGAAATGGAAATATATCGTAACAGTATAAATCTCTTTGCTGTCACTTTTGATCAATTAAAAGCATCTTTGCTTAGTAAAAGAAAAAAAAAAAGGTTTTACTGACCCAAACTTTAAACTGTAATCTGTATGCATTATTTCAAGAACCCTACTCTTTAGCATCGGCCATTGAAACGCCAAAATCGACTGAGCCTCTGCCGCTTACCCATAATCCTGTGCTGAATCTCAAGTCCTGATAATCCAGATCTGAATCATGCCTCCAAAGAAATCAATTTATCTAAGTTTATCCGTCACAGCACAGATCCGACAGCGTGGTGTTCTGGGAAGGTTTTCTTTACACTTTGATTGAAGAATTTGCTCATTTGGAGCATTTTTGTCTCAATGGAGTTCGCTTCTCACACAAAACACGAAACGAGACGTGCTGTCCACATGTATAAAGAGCTCAGACATTACATGCGATCCTAAGGGACGGGGCCCGGTACCAAACGCCGTGTGGATGCTTTGTTTAGGGGCAGATCTGAATGAAACAGGCCTCTGGTCATTAGAATGATTCGGAGGAGAGAAGAGAGAGGAGCGTGTGAGCTGTTGAGTCCTGATTTACAATGAGAGACAGCAGTGTCCTTCACTCCGTCCCACGAGACAGATTAATGAGTTTGACCTGAGGGCTTTCTGACAGAGAACGACAACGGATGAGGGAGCTTTAGAAAGTTCTGCAAAGCAGTGAGGCGTCTGAAAAGGAGATATTTTGAAGAATGTTCGCACAGCTTTTTCCATGCGGTGAAAGCATACGGTGACCAGCACTAAAAAAACATTTTAACCCTGTACAGCCTGTCTTATGAAACAGTAGTCCAAAAAAATCTATTTTTTTTAATTGTATATATATATATATATATATATATATATATCTT